GTGAACACATTTGGGACTAACAGGGTTTACTAGAATCCCAACACTCCACCACAGAGTCACCGCAGTAGACGTTAGATGAGCGCTGTCGCTATGCGGCACTTGTTTTCAAGTGTATCCGTCCCAATCTAGCCTAATCAACCCACAGACATTACAGATACCCTGCTGTGGGGCGAGCAGAAACACGACGCGTAGTCCTGTAGGTGAGGCTGTGGAGGGTGCAGGTGATGCACCTATAGATGCTATCATACATATAATATCGGAAGGGAACGAAATTGTGATTTTATTCACTCTTGATGTGTGTTGTGCGCATGCGTATGTGGGTATGTGTTTGTGTGTGCGTGTGCGTGTGTGTGCATGTGTTGCGTGCGTGTGTGTACATGCGTCGCACGCATGCGTGCATGCGTGCGTGCGTGTATGTATGTATTTATGTATTTATGTACATGTATCTGCTACCATGCTGTTAGCTGTGGATAAGGTATCTATCTATAGACATGACTGTGTGCACGTGTATATGTAGACACGTGCGAATCGGAGGCCCGTGCCATGGCTGCTGTTCCACTGTACTATATAACCATGTAGTTTCAACAGGCTTAAAATTAAATTTTGTCTTTTCTTCGAATGCTAACAGAATATATGTACTGCAAATACATATTTTAAAGCCAAATATTCAGAAACTGGTCGTGTTTGAAAATATTCTGAACCTCCAGCATTACATTCCCAAAATGACCCATTCTCCAGCAAAATCTTACTGAACCTCCAGCAAGCTGGTTGAACACCCTTGGCAGGTCTGCTAAAGAGTCTCATGGTGCATTGTTATGCTTTGCATGCAGGCTGGTGCTGCGGTGTCGGCAGGAGGCCCGAGCGAGGTTTGCGAAGCTGAGGTCCGACGTTCTCGTTAAGCTGGAGTTGCTTGATCAGAAACACGGTAGGTGCAATCGTTACGGGTTCAACTGTCGTAGTCGGTCCCGAGTACCACAAAATAACAACAACAACAATAACAATAACAACAACAACAACAACAACGACGACGACGACGACGACGACAACAACAACAACAATAACAATAACAACAGCAATAATAATAATAATAATAATAATAGCAATATTATTACTAAAATAATCATAAAGCTAATAATAACAATTGTTG